GATCCAATCTAATTGAGGGAACCACGAAACTTCACTATTTTACAAATTATATTAAATTTCATCATTATTTCCGGCGACATTTACATTTGAATGAAATAAACAAATTCCTTTCATCAAATTTACGAGAACCTAAAGTTATTGAACCTCTTGATTCACTTTTCCATCTCCCTGTGGATACGACATCCAAAAATTATACTACAACACCGCGTAACACTTTGGGCGTAATCAATGTATATTACACGCATCTTCCGAATCAGAACAATTTAATCCTTGTTTGTGCTCCATTAAAGTCAAATTTTGAGGAAAAATATACCAGACGAAGGTTTATTCTTTCAACTATTATAAAACAATAAAGGACTTTGAAAACAATTTTCATGAATAGAATCCATATGCCCGTGCAATATTGAAAACTCCCATTATTATAGGCTTCAATATCTTAGGGAGCCACCGTTTGCATCTACCATTATTATATATCTATCTCACTTCATATCTATTTCTATTAAATTCTTTTTAAAAATGTTATTTTCATCCACGTCACATTCCAATAATGTCATTATTAAATTCATTAATTTAAACGCTATACATCAACACCATTTTTATATATCTATCCCACTTTAAATATGTATTTATTACAATTTCAAATTTTTTCAAAACAAATATTATATTTCTCCTCATTACATATAACATCAACATTCTCATAATTTAATAATTAATTCTATAAGCGAAAAATTATAAGATGGGATTCCATAAACCATAGACTCCTATAATTGTTGCCGCTGTCAATGTGACATAAACTTTATTATTTTATTGAAATCGTACATAATAATTTGAAATGACTCATAGTTTTTATTCCTTTAAAGGGGAAAAAATCGATCAAAGAAATTATTGCCTACCACCATAAAATCATGACAAAGAGGCAATTCTCTAAAAAATATTGAAAAACAAGTTTTCTTTTCTTTGCTTGCCTTCCGTGGAACATCAAATACTAGAGCTAGTATTCCAAAAATAAATTATCACTTTTTTTTCAATAAATTGTAAATATTTATTCTACTAAACTGTTTAGCCTAAGCGAATGGTTATGTTGACATTTATGCAATTTCGAAAATATTTATATATGAAGTTCCTAAAAAAATCGTTGATAGTAGTCTTGGAAAGATGCAATTTTCCATCCTTTACAAATAGTACCACTAAAGTGCATAGTGACACTACAATTAAAAAATATAAAATGAAATGAAATAAGAACCAGCAAGTTGAAAAGGAGTATATACAAAATAAAACTAAACAAAATATAGTGACTGCTAGAATAGAACTACCTAACTGGGGAAAATCAATATTATTTGTTTAAATTTAACATATCACAACTTGTCGAGTAATAATAGTATGCCCATACGAATTGGTGTGGCAACATCGAGGAAATCATATGGATACCAACAACAATATTATTGGAAGTCACTCACTTCTGCAGTCATATTTATTGCAGCCTAACCTACTTTAATTTCAGGAGTATGCTTTACTTTTCATGTTCTGCAAGCTATAGCTAGACTCCTTCTAGGAAGAGATTGAGTTGTTTGTATTCAATCTCTATAGGCATTTTCTTTTTCTTCTATATATCCTCTGTATATTTCCTCACAAACATATAATACACAAGACAGAAACTTCTATATGATATCAGAGCTAATCCTCAACCAGACCTGTCTCTGAATTTTTTTTCATTCACTACTTTTATCTGTCTTCCTGATGGATGAAGAAAACTCAATTACTTTTTCCTCTCTAAGTCTTATTGAAGTTGAGGTTAACTCAAATCTATGACTCAGTTCAGTTTTATTGAATGAGTTTAATTATCTTTCATGGTCAAGGGCTATTTCTCTTGCTCTTGGTGGAAGATCGAAGTTTGGCTATATCAATGGAAGCATAAAAGCTCCCAGATGAGCCCTCATCTACCTATGAAGCATGGTTGTACAAAGACTAGTTGGTCATGTCCTGGCTTCTTAATTCCATGAAAAAGAAAATTGCTGAAATCTTTAGCTTCTCTACTTCTCTTGTGATTCATGGAAAAATTTCAAGGAAATGTATGGCAACCAGAATAATGCAGCTCTTGTTTTTCAACTCAAAAGGGATGTTTCAAGACTCCAACAAGAAGGCAAGTCATTTGTCCAACATAAAGATTTCTGATGAAAAAAACTATAGGGGTGAAAGACCGGACTTGAAGTGTATATATTGTGATTCGATTGGTCACTCAAGGGAAAGGTGTTGGTTGTTGTAACTTGAACTGAAACCAAAGTTCTCAAAGGAGAGAATGGGTCATTGGAAA